TGCTTTTCAGTTATTACACAGTGAAATACAAACAGCAACAGGTTCCAAGAAACCAGGTAATCTCACCTCAACTTTAATATCATTTTCCAACTCAGCATCTAGAAAATCCAGCGTAACAGGCTCCTGGGATTTAGGATTCTGAAGCAGAAGATATTGAATGATCAAATAATAAAGACAGAGTACCATGTTACAAATCATTTTAATCCTTTCATTTCAAAGTAAGCTACTTAAATGGGCTTACTCACCCATCTATTCTTAACCTCTTACAGCATGATGAATTACTAGTGGCCCTTTCTCATTCTATTTTATTGGATAAAGAGCTTAATTGGGTAAGTGAAAATCAAATTAATACTAATGGCCAGTGTCCCTCCACAGGCTGTTGTGTATGACACTCATGCTAGGAAGCTGCTTCCCCTACTGCTGTATGTCACAAACTGTAAGAGTGGGAGAAGATGCATCAGAGGAAGAATCAGATATGAATTTCTCATTAGGTTTACCTGTCTCCAAGAAGGGAGAGAGAAACCTGGGACAGTTTTTCAGCTGACCAGTAAGATGGGCCAACTGTACTCTTCTGCAATTTTGCCAAAAGCAGACTACAGACTTGTCATTATGAGGTGGGAATAGACTGCAGTTCAAGATTTAAAGAGACAGCAATTATAGAAAGTGGTATCTTTGTTATAAAAAACCAAACCAAAACAAAACAAAAAAAACAACAAACAAACAAAAAACACTTTTATTATCAGCATTACAGGACTTCCCTCAACACCTTGCTGTTCTGAATGCATTTCTCCTGACATTAGTACTGAGAGTACTTAGAGATAGAAACATGTAGCACAGAAATACTGTGACCCAGCAGCTTCAGGACCTAAGAAATGTATGTGATGTCAACCCTCAGCTATGGAGCACAGAGAAGTTTGGTGGTCTGTACCTGTAGTAACCCTGGTCTCATAGGAATGTGGGAAGACCACTGTAGCTCTTCTGAACTAGCTCAGGCCACCCTCCAGCCTCTGCTCCTTTCTCAGCTTCAGTCTGCATTTACTTGGACAGAGCCATCCTCCATGAGGGTTAAGAATCCGACTGTTTTTTTTGAGTCATTTTGGCTAAGCCCCATTGACTTTGTATTACATATGGTATAAAGATTCTCAATCCTCATCACTCAGTAGTTATTTAATGCACCCACCCAATGAAGGATCTTTACAAAATAGTATGGTGATATATTATTTAACCATGTAAAGCTAAAAACTTAGAATAGAAGATGAAACAAGTCCAGTTTTATTATTTTTTTTGATTGATAATAATTTGCCTTGTGTCATAGGACGGTTCATGCATGAAAGGATCTCAGTGTCTAGTTTTCTCAGTAACTGATCACTGTCTCTCATGATTAGAAACACAAATATTGTCTTTAGCTGATATTATTTCAAGACTAGTGTAGTTTCTGATAATGACATTTTTAGGGGATTTCAGTGATTCAGCTGTACTAACTTATTTACAGGGCAGACTAAAGTCTCTTCTTTCAAAATCATGATTATATTCCTCTATCCTAATATTCTCTGGCAAATGTACATGTGACTATTCTATCAAAGAATGCAAACGTTATCACAATTTATGTATGTATTTCCAGTTCATACTGGAAGAAAGTAACATCCAGAACAGGTGGTAAAAGTTGCCTTCGTATAATACTCTGGAGCATTAAGAGTTTAACAGTAGCTCTTATTCTGAAGACTGGAATATAGAATAGTTTTAGAAGTTAAAATATTTTTCTTTTGTATTCTTGAGGAACAAATGTACATGTTTCTGGGTATATGGAATCATTCCTGTTACTAGCAAGTAAAACTCGCTAATAAGTAAGAAGCCAATAAGTTCATTCTCAGAAAGAGCATATGCACTGTAAAGATTGCAGACAAAGATTTTGGGTATTCCTTTATATGTATAATGATAGCTTCAAATAAACTTTTATGTTCCTATTTATATAGTATAGATAAAACTAACAACTTTAACATAATAACATTAACATATGCTTTCTACTAATTCAAAACAATTTAATTATTGTTATGCAGTTGCATTCCCCCCCCCCAACAAATCCACACTCTTGAAATAAATAAAAAAATACTAAAATGTAAATATACATTAAAAAATACATTTTCTTACATGCAATGGATAATGAATAGCATGGTCAAACCCAAACAGCATGCATGAAGGCATTGACATGGCAGAGGAGGCATTTGTGAAGTTCACATTCCATTCCAACACACAAAGGAACAGAGAAGAAAAGAAATGGTAAAAAAAAGGGGAAAAAAAAGCTATCACATCAAATCGAGGTCAATATTCATTTCAAATGATAACCTGGGCTAGCCATAGTTAAGGAGTCCCAAAGACAAAATATTCAACATCAACAGTCTATCAGAATTCAAATATATATTAACTGTTTGTTCTTGTTCTTTTTAAGTTTTATATCACCAAACATTCTTTATAAGGTACTTATTAATGATTTTTAATATATGAAGAAACTAAGCATGTATAGATATATACATTATGTGATGTGCCTGAGGCACAAAGAAATCCATTAGAAATTACAATAGAAAATTCCTAGACCTGTACTTTAAATAGAAGACTATTTTTCCCACTGTCTTTTTCCCCCAAGAATGTGTTTTTACCAGTATTTGGGCTCCATAATTTTTTCTTCCAAGGTTGCCATTTAGTGGGGTTTATTCCAAGCCATGAAGAAACAAACTTATTGTTCAGTTTGCTCTTCTCTTTATCCAGTCATGCATGTGACATGACTAGAAAAAGCGCAACACCACCACATTCATCAGCACAACTTAATAAAACAAAACAAAAGTAAATCACTAACAATGAAGCATGCAAATAAAGGGAATGCAGTCCATTTTCAGCATGACAAATAAAGGCAAAGATCTATTATTTCAATGAAAAATCAAGGAGGAAACAAAGAAAGAAAGAACTGGTGCAGCAACATAAAAAAAAATGTTCATTAAAATGCCATTGTTATGTGTTTTGGGAGGCCAGTATTCTCACAAATTCTACATAAGGCCTTTGTTGAGTTGCAGCAGCCTAGTTCCTACACATACCTGTAGTACTAATGAAGTCACTGGCTGTTAGGCTTTTAAATTCAATGATGGTTAGAAGGCAGCAAAATCCTGGGCCCCAGAAGGAGACCCAGGAGCATCTGGAGTGGATAGGAACCCAGAGCCTTTCCAGAGCTGCACCTCCCTGGGCAGCCAGCAACAGCCAAATCATACCACAGCATGCTGAGAAGCCAGGGGTGCTCAGAAAATTGAGATTCTTTTATGTTCCAGTGCTGTTTTCTCCAGTGCACAAATAAAAAAATCTATCTCAGAAGTGGTCTTTTACATGTAGTATAAACACAGACTCTTGACACTCAGTGAAATTACTGACTTGAATTAGATCAGGATTTTATACCATGTTTTACTGGTGCTGTTATGCAAGCCACCAGTTTTGCATTATATACTCCCTTATGTGTAAGAAATTAACATGGTATACTGTACCTAATTTTGTTATTTTGCTAGTTACATAGTTAATCTATTCCTTCAATGATTTTTACATTTTCATTAAGTCTTTTCTGCTCAGGGATTGTATTACATAAATGTTACTAATGTCCATTTGCCTGTTCAGGTTAGTGGCAGTTACTCTTCTGGAGCTGGGTCCCCTAAATAAAGAAACCTGACATAAATGGTAGATAAAACGTATGCCCTACTGTGACTATTCCAGAAAAAAATGGAACAGCGTATTCACATTCTGTAATCCTATACAACATATACTGTACAACAAAACTTGGCAATGAAGTTGTAAGAATTATCTTCTTTTGACTTTGGGTTTATGCAAGCAAAGCCAGCACAAGTAGTCTCTTTTTTTTTTCCAGTCTTCAAATTCATTTCAAAATCTAAAGAATAATTTTTACAGCATGGCTCTAATTAGCACCTATTAGTAAAGCACCATAATTTAATGGAACGCCCTTCACTACAGCAAATAACATGTTTTCTATTATTTAAACAAGGAAGGATGCAAGCTTCATGCTTTGGAAGCTGTTTGTCAAAGTAAACAGTTCTCTAGTTAGATTTTTCCTAGTAAGCAGGGCAAAAGCTTTCTAATTGTATTTCCAGGACTATGCATTCTAATTCACTAATCACCTCCATCCAAAGTTACCTGTACACTGGGTCTCCTTTTTCTCAATTTAACTTTTGGTATGCCCACACCAATTTGCTGAAGTAACAAAAAAGCAGTAATTTATATTTTTATACTATTAGTAAACAGCCTACTTATAGAATAGACGTCTTCCCTCAACTTCTATTCTTTCCAGTGCATATTTACTGGAAGCAGAGACTAGCCTTCGTTCCAATCGGGAGTTCTGAGCTCTGTCAGAATTACACACGGGTTTTGTGTAGAGAAACGAAAACCAGATATATGTTACATGACATTAATTAATTTAAAAGAGAGCTCTCCCTCTCACATACTTTGCCAGAATTAAAATGTAGAATTAAAAGAGTTTCACTTCTTGATTACTGTTATATCTGCTCTTAAAACCACCTCCTCTTACATTCTTTCAAAACCACAAACCTTAAGACAAAATACTGGACCCTAGTGAAGGCATCTGGGGTCTTAGAAGTACCATTAATTAGATTTTGATCAGAACCATAACAAAAATGAAAATAAAAGGATGCTAATCTTTAGAACAGATTCAGAAATTGACTAATTTACTGTTTTCAAATCTTATCTAATTAAGACTAGTCTTATTAGCATACCCTTATCGCACTCACTTCAGTGACTATGTTTATTTGGTGGAGTATCCACCTGTTCTCTCCCAGGACAGTTGGAAAAATACATGCACATATGCAGACACAGAAAGAAAATTGGCAGTAAAACATAAAATTAAGCAATTGTTTAAAAATGTAATATAACTAACAACACAAACTTGAAAAATTGTATTTTAAACAGTTTAAAACTATATTAAACTGAAAGAAAAAAAAAAATAAATTCCTGTGTTATGCTTTGATGTAGTTTTCCTGTGCAAATAAGAACATGAAGGGAAATTTCTTAATGATTTTAATACACTTTTGAATCTGCTTTTTGTTAAATTTTCTCAGTTGTGCAAATGACTTCACAGGTTCTAAATTTCTAGGGGCTTATTTTTGTGAGATGATACTGCAAGACAATTTCTCAAAATATTAATTGTGTTGAACCAGTTGTGATTTGAGGTAACAGATTTTCAGAAGGAAAGCAGAAGACATTCAGAAGAAGGGACCACTGGAAGTTTAAAACACCCTCACCTCTTCAAAGGTAAAGACGTAGTTACGTTTTAGTTTGCATCTATTGAAAAATTGCTAGCAAAGAGGGTTAAGATGTTTGTTGTTAATAAGTTAACAACTACCAGAAGGCTCAACTAAAATTAATATGACATGTTAAAGAAAGTCCATAAGTTCTAAATACATCTGTCTTTATAGTGTACCTTAGTTTTAAAACGTAGTTCTTGTATCAGTCTGAATAGCATGCATCACCCCAAACAAACTGGGAGTGAAAAAGTCTAGTCTGTGTAACTGTTAATAACAACAATGACAATAATAATAAAGCATATGCTTAATATTACAGTTAGATATTATTCTACAACATAAACCATAATTTATAAAATATCCTTTTTTAAACACACTCTAAATCAAAAATTTGAGCAGTATGTGAAAACATCTCTGGACTTTCATATCTTTTTAAGTAGAAAACTACATAGAGAAACCATGACAATTAGTATCCTAATACTCCATCTCAGTCTAGATTAAGTTGGGATGAGCTGAGTTTTTCACTCACTAACAAAGTTTCTTTATTCTCCAGTGTTATGAGTTTACACTGCAGTTTAGTAGCACATGTGAGATGAACAGAATCCATATCCATCAGTTCCTCAAAAGATTGTGCCTAAAACAAGAACACTACATTGCTTCTTATTATATTCCTTCTGTTAACAAAAAGATAATTTAATTTGTATATAAGGAAAATGTAAATAGATCACTTGCCATCACCTGAATTTTTAATAATCTCAAATGAATAAAAGATTCAGTCAGTAATGATGCATATATTTGTCTCAGAATAATTCACCAAACAAATTCATCAAATAGAAACTTTAATTTTTTAACATATGAAAACTTAATACATATATCCAGAAACTGAAGTCCTTCTAAATTATAAAGACTATATAAAACCCTTTTTTTCCTTTTTTTTTTTTCTTTTATTTTTAAAAGGGTCCTTACAAAATAAATCAAAAGGGGTATTTCATCAATAGTTAAGATCAAGTTATTCTTTCTCTTTTTCAGAAGCATTTTTTTTCTTTTGTTACACACTCAGCAAAAGATTTCAAATATATTCATTACTTCACCAGGCAATTAATCCACATATTCACAATGCTGACTTCTCTCAGCTTAAGAATTAAATGAATCACTAAAATACGTAGATGAATTCTTCATTCCTTTTTCTGCCTTTGACAGTTAAAGATGGTGAAGTAGTGAAAAGGGGATCTGCTATCCTTCTTGTAGCTATGATAGGACTTTCTGGTGAAGAAACAAGAGAGGACAGTCACACAGACAGGAGGTCAAGGACTTGCCACTATTCTGCCAAAGGAACATGGCTGGGAGGAATAAAGTGATGGATAAGCATCCAATTTACAAAAAAAAAAAACAAAAAAAAAAAAACCAAAAAAAAAAAAAAAAAAAACCACAGTATTTCCATGCCTAAAGGCAGCAATTACAGGCTTCCATTACTTAAGAAGTTTCTCTAAAGTGTGCTAAGTGCTAAAAAATAACTTAGGAGTAGGGTGCCACTAAAGTTTAAAAGACTTACTAGCCTTATTTGCCTGTGTATTGACAGCTTGCATTTATCTCAGTCACATATTGCTCAAACCATCTTAATAAGAAATTTTAATATTGACAACTGAACTACATGGATATATTGTTTGGTCTTCAGTATTTACAGTGATTTATTATTTCTAACTTTTTATCTGTAAATAACCCATACATTTCTCTCAATAGAGAGGTTTGTTTTTAGTATTTTTAGTTAATTAAATTTTAACTTTGTCTTTTATGTAATGCTGCATTTCTGCACTATGAACTCAAGAGAAAAAAATTGTTGGAAGTATGTTTCTAATGGAATTAAAATACGAACATTTTCAAATATTCCACTAAACAGAAGATTGTTTGATATGGTGAAACCCTTCACTAAAACAAAGATTAAAGTTCTGACTTCAGAAAAAAAAAAAATCACCCATTCATGTTGAAGTATCTCCTCAGAGCAGGGAGGAAAGTTATATAAGAAGATACATGTAATGTAGGGGTTCCCACAGGGTCAGGACTAGAGTTAATGGATATAAAGCCAGACTGAAATCTTGGGTATAAATTTTCCTGAAACTTGGGGAAAGTTTTATCCTAACCATGTTTAGATAAAGATCTCATCTTTAAAGATGAAAGACCTTTCTCCAGTTGAACTACTAACAAATCTAGCATTCTGGGAAGAAGTGCTCAGATAGATCCATCCCAACTCTGTAGTTCAGGTTTCAGCTCTGGTGAACAGAAAATAAGCAAATAAACAAATATGAAAAAAACAAACAAACAAACAAAAAAACAAACAAGTAAAATGCACTGTGTTTGCCCCTAATTTCTGTGGTATTGCTAATATGAAAGTTTCAATTTCTGAAATGAGAGAGCATCACAAAATAAGTACGTACACTAGTAAAGTCCTCAGTTTGCTTTGAGAGCATATTGTAACACACCAGAAGTTCTCCACAATGATATTACAGCTACCACTAGTTGTTTTTATATTAATATGTATATTAAAACACTTATTTCACATATATAAATGTTCATGCAAAATATATATCTTTTTTATTTTATTGATAAACAAATTCACTACAAGTCAATGCTGGCCTTTGTACTGACTAAAGTGGATTTGGCTGAAGCCATACACACACCACAAATTTTCCTGACACCCCCGCAACTGAGAATTATTTACTATTCCTCTCTGGTACTTTCAGCAGATCTTAGTTTCTGTTACTTTAACAATGTCCCCTTATTATAGAGAAATACATTTGAAGGTTTTTCATACCTTTGGTTGGAGATTTGGATGAAGTAGCACATACCCATTAGGATCAATTGCAAAATAGTAACCATTTGGACAAAGCTGAAGGAAATAAATGAAGTTTAACATTATAAAGTTTTAAGTAAAAAAGAAAGATTAATTAATGGTTCTCAAGCAATGGTCACATTGAGAAAAAATACATTGCCTCAGGCATCATGAAGTATGTGAGGTATTAATATAGAGCAGGTAATTTCTTAAAATTTACACTTTTAGAATGATAAACTTGGAGTATAATTTAGGCTAATGGGACCACTGAAAGTCAGCTGGTACATCCCTTCACTGAAAGCTGAGCTAACTTCAAAATAAGATCCAACTTCAAAACTGGACTAGGTTTCAAAGGGTCTTTGAATACCACTAATGCCATTTACACAGCCTCTCTGGACAACCCATTCCAGTGTTAAACTGCCCTCACAGTGATTTTTTTTTCTTTATTTCCAGTTGGACTTTCCACTGTCATAATATGCCAATTACCTCTTTTATTTTGTTATAAACCTTCAAGAAATGTCAAAGTCCATTTTCTCTATAACTCTCATTAGGCAACCCATTAAGTTCCTTCTTCAGTCTGAGCAAACCCATCTCTCAGCTTCTTGTACACCATGTACTCCAGCCCCTTGGCCAACTTAGTGGCTCTGCACTGGACTCTGCTCAGTGCCTCAGTGTATTTCTTATACTGAGGAGATCAAAGTTGGACACAGTAGTCCTGACGCACGAGTTCACTGAACAGTTGGCCTTCTTTACTGCAAGGGCATACTGGTAACTTATGCACAGCTTGTCCTCCACTATGAGCCCCAGGCCCTTTCTTGCCTTTTGAGGTAGTCTGTCCCAGCCTGTACTGTGACATGAGATTATTCCATTTGAGATGCAGGACTCTGCATTTGCCTTCAGTCAAATTGGTGATGTTCCTTTGCTTCCTCAGCTGTTGTTTTCCACAGTGCTAGCTATTTTCTTAGAAATTCCCCAGATAGATGCCTAAATATGTAAATCAATCATACAGAGTAGGGTACAAACAGACATTTATATTAAAGAACTTTTCTGCAAAGAACTGTCCTATATAAATGGTAACTATCATTATTAGCTGAAATAATTGTGTACTTTGCACTGTGGTAAGAACCAAACACTCAACTGAAGAGCAGTGTTTTAAGCTACAGGAAAATAATTACTTGGAATATATCCCCTCAATGTAAAAGTTGGCTTTTACAGATGCATCCTGATGGATAATTCACACAGAAACACGTATATATGATTGGAGAGAAAACCATGAAAAAATCTACAACAATGGAAAAGAATATATGAGAAGAAGCCTGCTGGTATTTTGACTTGCACCCAATCATTGCTCTATGATTTATGAAGGACCATGCACAGAAATGATAGATAAATCATACATAAAAAAATACACCAACACAAGCAACTTACCGTAAATCGGGGTGTCAGTTTTTTTATGTCCTCCAAAGAGACATCAACCCCCATTACTCCAAGAATCAGCTGATTCTGGGAAGATTCAAAAATGTTAGCATATGCTTGACATATTTACAATGCAGAATAACTGCAACAGTCAGTGAATTTTGATTTTGACTTCGTCTCTTGTTTGACAGATACTACTTGAAAGTTGACTATTTACTTATGTCCTGGGTTTAAGGCTCAAACCACAACAACTTATGTGTCTATTCTAAATATTTTAAATAATATCAAGTGAATCAAAATAACATTCAATACATTCAGAATTTAATACAAAATATGAAAATTGTTTATGAAATTAAATATGGATGCCTTCCTGGATGAATAATCAATAAATGTAAGAACAAAACAGGTGAAAATGAGGCATTTATATTGTCAATGATGTATATATTAAATTACTAGCACCAATATAGAGCTATTATTGCATGCTTAGGTTGGGCAATTGATAAGTGAGACCCCAAAACAATTAATCCTTCTTGGCTATGTTGTAATGATGAATTTTAAAAAAAAACAAAACAAAACAAAACAAAACAAAACAAAACAAAAAAAAAACAACAAAAAACCAAACCTAATCGAAACCCAAACAACAACAAAAAAAAAATAAGCCAGTGACTATAATAATCATCAGCATTTGAAATCAGGGACTTGGTCACTACATTTACTTCACTTGTAATTTATTTTCCTAATACAGAAAAAGAGGGCAGTCATTTATATAGTATCACCAAAATTCCTTCTCCATGCTAAAGAAATTTGAAATATGTATTGGAAGATGCATCTCACAGTCTGTAACTTGAAATTCAGGTAGACACATAAGTCAAACAGATTCAAGTTCTTCTCTTGTTCCTCTATACTAGACTACGACTGTTTCACTTCTCAGAAAGACATCCTTTGTTAATCAGTAGTCTCACTTTGCAGACAGACTCAGTGAATTTCAGGCATTATCGTGTAGATAAGATTATGAAACCTTTTTGTTTTGTTTTGTTTTTAAAGGGAAACTAAGAGAATTATTCTGAAAGTGAATAAAAGAAATGGTAGCAATTACATTCTTATTTATTCTTTCTGAGACTATGTACTATCTGAGAAAAAGAATCAAAGAATATCTTGTTTCAACTTCTATGCATTTTGACCTGAATAAACATGACTATCACACCAAATATACAGTATTTTACCACACACTGTAAAGCATATTCTAGGTCTGATTTTGAAAAAGCAGCATTTTGATCTGGTGAAGAGGACAAATTAATTCCATATCAGACAGTAATAGGGATGGGCAATTGTATTTATTTCATACTTAGATTTTAATCAAGGTATACAATGTTATTTTTTATTATCATTAAAACTAATTAATTTAAATTCTCTATATCATTGCTTTTACTCCTGAAATGTCATAGCTTCACAGATCTGTTATACATTTATCTGGGCATTCCTTTCTTGGCAAGGCCTAAATAATATCATCATCTACTTCCTATCTATTGAGTATTTCACACATTCCCACTACCACCAGGCAGAGGTATATCAAGGAATTCCATACCCTGAAACTCCAAACTACAAAAAGGGTGATCTGCATTTTCTTGTTCCTAGGAGTTTATCAGGTAACTAGAGATGACCCCTTTGTTTCTGATATACAAGACAATTAAACTGTAGAAGCTCTATGGAAATACATATTTTTCAAGGAGTTTAGTATGATATTTAATTCAAATAACTGATTTTTTTTTATTTTTTTTCTTTAAATAACAGCTTACTATTTTCCCATTTTGTTCCTTTGTTAGATTGAAGACAGGTAGAGTTCCTGTAATCACAAGGCCCAGCTCCTAGGAAATAATGACATACAGAGAGGAGAAGACGACCTTTTAGTTAAATAACAAATATTGAACTATAATATATGAGAACAATCCAGGGATTACTGTAGCCAAACACTAGAGTACTGACTATTAATTTGTAAAAATTTTAAAATTAAAAAAATAATAGATTTTAAACATAGAAATTTAAAATTAGAATTTTTTATGTCCATGTGTTAGTGAGAATGATAAATTATTTTTTAAAAATAAATGTTTTTCAACACTTAGGATATAATATTTAAAAAAGCCTAAATGTAATGAATAAGTGTTTACAGCTACAGTACCCAGTATACTAAAACCCCTGGATAGTAGGGAAAAAAAAAAAAAAAAAAAGAAAAAAAGGAGAGAAAGCCAAATCAAACGTAAAGATTGTAAACAGGTAGGCAACAAATACATGCAGGCAAAGTCAACAGAAAAATCCAGCAGGTACTACCACTTTTCATATCATCACTAATTTTCAGTGGCTTGTAATAATGTCCATCATCAGTCCTGGAAAATCATATAGTTTTTCCTGGTACTGAGGAATTTGCACTTATTTGGGAAGATAGACAGTTTTTTTCCTTTACTAACAGTCACAACTCACTTAAATAGGATCCAGAAAACCATATGGTTAGATAGCCAGAAAAGTTTCGTTTTCCATTCTAAACTGTCCACAGGGAGAGTTCTACCTTTATTTATGCTAATATTTGGGGTTTGTTTCAAATTGCTTTTTACCTCACTGATGCTTACTCCTTGAAGTAGCCATATCACTTTTCTCCCTTTGTTTAATTAGGAAAAATAAGCTAAAACACTTTATTAATTCACTCTGATGAAATCCATTCTTCATTTGCCCATAATAGTAGCACCGTTTTGAATTTTAAACCATCCTTCACAAACTTAAGTTTATGTATTAAATGAAAGGTGATGAAATCAGAGTTAGTAATGTTACAAGCAAGGTGAAGAGAAGGAGAAGTGGACATTTTAGGAGAATAAGAGAACCAAGGAATGGAGATGAATTAGAAGAAAACAGAAGGATATTTTTAGAAGGAGCATTGAAGTGATACATAATGAAACAGGAGGGGTATTTACGGGGAATAACCACCTCTCCTCCCCAGAAAATGTTCCATTAGAGAGGACAATAATTGTGAATAAATTACGACTAAATGGTAAACCTAAAAGTACCTAAAAATTCTGGGACTATCTTGCAGAAAGTGAGGCCATAGCAACACTGTAAGAGAACCTAAGGAATAGGGCAATAAAAGAGATACAAATTGCCACAAATACATGAAATTCTCAAAGACAGTCTTGAAAGACAGCTTCAAATGAAAGTACCCCTTTAGGATATCATAACCTGAACTTAAACTCAGTTCAAATGTGGCTTCATGTAACACACTTTTCTTTATCCCCAAGACAGCTGCTGGACAGTAAGAGAAAAAGGATAAGAAAAAGTCCAGTGAGGCACAAGTAGAAGGGTAAGCCCTACAGGAGGGAATTGCTTTAAGGAATTTAAGATAAAGAAGCAGTGTGAATGGGGCAAGTTAGCCCTAATTCCTGATAAAACCAAGAATCAGGAAAAGACTCCAGAGTGGATTAGATACACCTATGCTTTTATGCTCTTATCTGTGACAAGAAAGTCCACAGATTTCACCCTTTACCTCAACAGTTTATCTTGGGTTGTCCTACTTTTTGTAAATATATATGTATGTGCACATGAAACTATATATACACATATATATAATCATATATACACAAAAATACACATATATAACACATGAATAAAGGAAAAGCTTGAAGGAAAGACTGAATGAACCCAGTGAAAATATAAAGTAACACAACAGAAGTCTTCAGGTATCACTCATTTTACTTCATTAAACAGATCTCTTTCTATCCCCAGTTACAAATTTAGCTTTGGCTTTACAACAGGATATGTACAGAACATATGAACTTTCGTCATAACATCCTTTATGTTTCCAGTAAGTACCTCAACAGTAACCAAGAAAACATGGTTAATGAACTTCTGGCCATTGAAATTGCAAAGAAAAACTAGTTCCTCTGTGTCACGCTCAGTTCCATGATGTGTTGATAAAAATTTTACAGTAATGCTGACTGACAGGAAGAAATGGATTTTGGCATGACATTAGATGACCATGTGAACGTGGATAAATACATGATTCTAGATGATCATTTTTCAGTAATTTTTGCCTAGTTCAGAAGAAGGTTATCTAGAGCAACAGATTGGATTGTTGCTAATAATATTTTGCATTTCGTAGTTTCCTGAATATGTTTGTTTTACGAGACTGAACTGATAAATTCAGCAGTAAGAAAAGTATTTTGTATATCTTTTTTTGTTTATTTCCCCATTATATACACTGGCCAGTTAAAGAAATAATTACCTTGAGCAATCAAGTAATTACAGCAACCACGACAGTGTAAAGATCCAAGTTCAAAATCTGTATAAATACCCATTAACATTAACAGGTTTCATTCTGCCTGGAATATTTTTTTTTTTTTTTTTTGGGGCGGGGGGTGAAGTAAGAAATCCCCACTAGTAGCATAACAGATGACTTCTACTGCAGCACAGGTAGAGAACTGGAAAATTATTTGCTTCTTTTTTCTTTTGTTAATTTGACAACAACAATGACCAACACTTAAAGATCTGTGTGTAGGATAAATTACTTTGTTGAAGTTCAGGACACTTAGGAGGACACTGGGTACAAGTAAGGACCAACATGTTAGAAATAGTTGTTCAGGAAATTGCTTTATTGAAGTGTATAGATGCTGGAAATCTAAGAATATTATGTTTGGAACTATAGGAGGCTGAGTCCTCAGGACTGTGGAAAATGGACCCCTATAGTTACTGATTTGCTAAGGTTCTTGCTTTACTAGATATAAATACAGATCATACCAGAGCATCCAGATAGACATTTGTCCATTGGACTTGTTTGGCTTTCTCTCCAGCTAAAACCATTGGTCTTCCTAAAACATCCAGATATTCCTGCCAAAAAGTGTAATAAACTCATCAGAAGACAGTTATTAGATACAAGTCCAGAAACAGCATAAAGAAATAAACAGTAATAAAATAAAAATAATTAAAAATCAGGAAAAAAAAAAAAAAGAAAAGGAAAAATTCACCACTAATATAGGAGTAGTATTTAATTACTTATTTAAAATTGTACTACCCAACAATTTTGTCTTCAGTTTGCAGCATTTACTGCCAATGCACTTCCTCTATTTCATTCTCAGTCACATGGACCTTACACATCCATAACCACCTCTCTCTTTCCACGAAGTGAGAATTACAACTGTTTTTGTTCCCAAATTAATTGCTAATGACATAATGAAATTACAAGCAGATCACAGAACCTTCAACCCAGAAGAGAGAGTGGGCGATGGAGGGTGAGTGGTGTAACAGCTGGGTATGTTAAGCTCCTACAGCAACAACTTGCATAACTTCTATTGAAACAAAAAATTCAGAGTTATAAAACCTCATAGTCCCTGCCTTCCTTTGGTTTGGGACTATGGCTAAAGCTGGTGATCTTATGAGATGTCAGACTTCTGGTCTGGTCTGGGAGTGGATGCCATCAACTTGTTTCCATCTTTAACCTTTTCTATCTGTCTGATCATATTAGGGATATTTCTTACCAGACACTATCTGGAAAAGTTTAACAGAATCAAAGGACTCTTATTCAAGCCAAAAAAAATGACTCTTATTTTCTGCCAAAAAATGTCATGCCTGACCTTGGAAGGACAAAAAACTGCTATGATATTTCTCTGCTTTTCTGGACATGTGCATATATGGACTTTCAGACAACTGAAAATAATATCTATTAATCTATACTGTCAGTTCGGATCATGTCATATAATTCTAGGATCCTGTGCCCTTAATTATGTACACTCATGTTTGCTAAAATAGTCCTGCAATATTTTTGAAAGAAAAAAGCCATGTCTCTCTCAGACCAGTTAAATCAATCCAGGAACCTCTCCTATAAGCAGGATTGTATCAGGTCACTGTTTCTGCCCAGCTGAGTTCAGATAATCTAGTAGAGCTATGCCTTCACACAGACCATAGTAATACCAACCCTGAGCATCACGCTGTAAGTATGGCAGGAGACAGACTATGAATGTCTAGACATTTTAGAAAAAACCTAGGTTTATAAAGCTTTATAAAAAAAATTGTTGTCATGTCTCAGGATCAAAGAGGGACCATGTAAGTTCAGGAGGAAAACTGAGCCCAGAACATAGTCCTTGTGCAGAGGTGTGCAGAATGCAGATCACTTCAAACATTCTGCTGCATGCACATGGTCAGCCTGCTTTAAAGGATGCTGGCATGACTAGTACACATGCAAGCTGCTGTGGGCCATCTGGCCAGGGGAACAGGGATCATGTTGTGAAGTGATTCACTGAAACTATTAAAAATAAATAAATAAAGTAGAATACTTTAACGGAATAATCCCTCATATGTAAAAGAAAGCCCTAATTTTTTCTATGTCCTTAATATAGCATAACTTAAAATGTAATAGATTGAAACAGACGTGAAATGCAAGGTATGTATGAACAGACATTACTCCATTACTTTGTGTTGCAACTATATCTGCATTTGGACAACACACTTACCTGGGTGTTAATTCTTATGGCTCCAATTGATGGAATTTCATAATAATAACCTAAAATTTGGAACAGAAATAATAACATCTTACTGTAGTATATTGTTAGTTTCTTCACCTTGAGGAATTTAATATCATTTGTAATTTCTAAATTAATTTTTTTAGAAATTACCATATGTGAATGGGCTAGTTTTTCAGTAGGTGCCATCACAATGTGTGGCCACCTATGATGGGTCACTATGTCATACAGGCCAAGCTACTTACTCTTAAGCAGTGAGAGCATATAATGTTCTTCTTTTGTCTGTCATTTTTAAAGCTGAGATAATATACTGAATTTGTACTCCAGAATTCCCAGTTACTCTGATGTGCAAGTATATTTAATGGTCATTTTAATACACTGTGACAGCAATGTAATTATATGCTGAATGCATATATGAATGAACATATGGCTACAGACTGCCACAATAGTGAAGTTCATTGCAGAAGAATATAAGGCACTCTGTGGAAAGGATGAAAAAATCAAACTGGTATTTCTTCTAACTAAATATCAGAAATATCTTTATTCATCACTGATTCTATCACTTATTTGTTTGAATTAAAAATACTGTCCATATGCAGTAATGAGACTGGAAAGATAGGCACTGAAGTCCAGTTTCAAACCACATAAGTTGTAAGTTACATTGAAAAGAAGGGGGAAGGACTGGAGAGGTAAGAGTACTGAGGTTAGACATTTACTTTGCCGTAAGCAATGTGTGACTTGATAATAAATTAAAAATTTTAATTAAGGAAAAATTAAATAAAACTGCTTCTTTGGATAGTCAAACAAATAATCCCATCACTTGTGGACAGAAGATAATTGATCATTTTGCCTTGATAATAGGATGACATAGGTGATTATGCTTTGAGCCAGCTGGTCCTCATTTGTTTTGAAATAATGTAGTTCACATGCACACAGTATTTTGAAATACAGACAGTGAAAAAATCTGTGTTCAAAAAACCAAATGTTGATTTTCTGTAATTATCTGATAGTACAATCTGCTCTTCATGAAGTTGTAGTTTCTTCTGCATAACTTGCCACCATACTAAGGGATTCATGAGGTTATGATACATATGTGATTCATACAGGCTATGGATTCCTCTATAGTATTCTCTTTCTCTTTCTCTTTCTCTTTCTCTTTCTCTTTCTCTTTCTCTTTCTCTTTCTCTTTCTCTTTCTCTTTCTCTTTCTCTTTCTCTTTCTCTTTCTCTTTCTCTTTCTCTTTCTCTTTCTCTTTCTCTTTCTCTTTCTCCTCTTTCTCTTTCTCTTTCTCTTTCATCTTTGGTGTATGTTATTCTGATGACTGAATAATATCCTCCTTCCATGGCAGTCTTAATTTTCAAGTCCCTTTGTAATCTATCCCACCTCTCACCTCTTGTTTCTTACTGATTTGTAAAATACTTTCACATTTTCAGTCAGGCCTGGAAATTGCTCTATTTAAAATACCCAACAATATTGTTTGATAATTTATCTAGTTTGTATTTATCTATATCAATGTATTATCTTGTTCCATAATTATACAGTAAGGTATTTGAGACACCACTTTCTCACACTCTTTTAAAAAAGTTTCTGACCACATTTTTCATGTAGAAATTTTGCAGAAAGCATTTTACTTCCTTACTTTCACCTTGTTCACTTTTTTTTTTTCCCACATAAAGAAATCAGGATAAAAGTAAAAAATGTAAGATGGTCTCAGAAGCTAAGAAATTACAGCAAGAATAAATTTGATATTTTCATCAAAAAAGAGAAGAATAATGCAAGTCATCTGGTCCCTTGTAAATTTTGGAGAAAACCAAAAAGAAATTCAACCAGCCAACAAACCAAATAAAAAATCCCGTTGTCCAGACCCCTTAATATAAAACAGCTTTGCTTAATTTCTTATTTGTCATCAGTTCCATCTTTTCATAGATGGTTATTACTGCAAGAATTCTCAAAACTGAACTGTAGCATTATATCATTATTATTCTCACTATTATTATTACAAAAATACTGTGATATTTTTCTTACAATGGAAAGTTTTAAATAAAGTAATCAGAAATAAATATACAAGCTTCTTCTTTATACATATATAAATGCATATACACATTATTTCATCAAATAACTTTTTGGAATTTTTAATTAAAAATACAATAAAACTAAAAATCAGGCTGAAAAAAAGAAATTGTTATTTTTAGCAAATAACTAAGATATTGCCTATTCAAAACTCTAGCAAAGAATAGCCTCGAAGAAAACCACAGTACCTTTATTTTCACAGGCCATCCACTGAATGGGTCCTTTGTCATAATTATGTTGACCAACAGAAAATGTGAAAACACGTACCTATGTAAGTTAAAAACAATGCATATAAATATATGTCATTAAATAACCGTGACTCTCAAGTTAATGATACTTGGATTTTTCATACATTTGAACAGAAAAAAGAAACTGTGAATTTTCCAATTTTTATCACTGTAATAGATACACTGCTATTATGATATTAATGAATTCCTATTATTTTGGTCTATGAAGTAGAACTCAAGTAGAATATTCTTTCATACATCTTTCACACTTTAAGGCTCTTACACTGGTTACTGCCCACGAACCATTTACTTTTTCTTTTTTTTTTTTTTTTTTTTTATTCCCCGCCCCGGGTGGTAATTATAACTCTTCAGGTTTTGTTAAATTACTTGACATAATCTCCTATCAATATTAGATGCTTACAGATGTTTGCATTAAAGCTATGTGTTTTATAAACATAATTCTATTCTGTTTAGTCAATGTAAGCTCCAATCTATCTCAGTAACTGAGGAGAGTCATGGCGTCAGAAAATTTATCAAATTCTATTCAAGTTTTGGACAGATAACAGGATTTTAATCTTAAATTATTTCCTTGAACTGATTTGAATGAAAAATAATAAAACCAAAAAGCCAGTAATGCTGTACACAGATTAAAAATCCTCCAAGACATGTAGGAAACCTACAAATATTATCTTTCAGCTTCTGGCTAAATACTTAGACCAGAAGCTGAGCCTTTCTGTAAGAGGCAGGAAAGATGTCTTCCCAACAGTTTTAATAAACTGTTTGCTGTTATCATGTCCCTCTGAAGGAATGTGCAAGGACCAGATTGCCTTTCTTTCTCAGGCATCTCTTTCTTTATGGACCATTAACTTTACCACTTCACTTTACAAATCACAGATCACAACATGAAATCAGAATATGAGTTCCTTTCTATGTAACTGGATGACTATTTTTAAAATTGAACCATAATACAATTAATTTACATGCAGGTTATAACTGACTAATAAGGTAACGTTTTCTTTAAATATTCACAATATAAAATTGCAGACACTCCTTGCAAACAACTGATCATTGCTAAGTTTTTAAATTATTGTTTATATAAAATTTAATCACAATATTTAGCATGTGAGATTGCTAGCTAAACCTTCATTTGTCAAATAAGCAACAAAAATTACGTGACATAACCAGAGTTTATGTATTAACCAAGAGCTGTAGGAAAAGCTCCAAATCATCAGTCAGCAGCTAGCAATTGATGAAGCTTTATTAATGTTGGACCCTATATGCAAGAAGGGCAAATAAAGCTTTGCTAGATGTCATTTTTAATTAATATATTTTGATTGATTATATCCATACAAATCCTTTCTTTCTGCAGTTGAAAGCAGAATTAAAGCAACTACTCTGCTGCACTGAATGCTGAATCAAGTACTTGAGTTTTGTTTTGTTTTGTTTTGTTTTTTTAATATATACAAATTTTGAAGTCTCTCAATAAAACTAATAAGACTATCCCATACAGGGTCACTTCTCAATAATGACTCAAGCCAATTACAGTTCTAGATACCTAGACAGGTATGGGAATGACAATACATTTGTGACAGTAAAATTTTGTTCTCACAGTTCATATGGATAAAGACAGATGAAAAATGCCTTCTATTACCTTGAAAATATCAGTATTGATAGTGCAAACATGTCTTCACCTGATATATCCGCATCTCATTTATTTTTTTAATACTGTATCACATTGTAAATTCAAGTTACGTTTCAAATCCCCCATTTGTTCTTGACCTCTTTTATAGAATATCAGCTATAACTCATATAATGGATCTTACTGTTTCTGTATAATTACCATCTATTTTTTTCCAAGCTGAATATCACAATGTTATGTTCTATCAGTATCTCTTAGCTCACAAGGTCACTGTTCATTACATTCCTGTTCTTTTTCAGACTCACCACTGCTACCAGTTTAGTGTCCACTGAACACTTGATTCAGATTACATTCTTCTCAAAAATTACAGCGAAATACAAAAAACCCCACTAAAGGCCACTAGTTGAGTGACCTAATGTCTTTTTTGGATTAAAAGTAACTACTTAAGTAAGTTAAGACGGAGTCACGTGGGTTTGCTTGTGTGTGTATAAAACACGAGTCAATTAGACTGGACTGTCTAGCATTTGATCTCAAATGTAAAAATGAAACACTGCATTTAATTCAGGTCGTGAAATGGTATGTAATTTAGGGAGAAGAAGCAGCATGTTAAATCTGGAACTAATCTATAAAGAATTTAGAATTTAAATTATTGACAACAAGCAGAGGACAATATATCTGATTTACTGTTCCTTGGATAATTGACAGAGATAAAGAACTGCAAGGAAAATTGGAGTTTTTAATTGTCACTTGGTTTGGCAAGAGGGTGGAACATTCAAAAGAGTTTTCTTTTTCCTATTGCCTCATCTGGAATTGAGTAGAATGATAGACCAGCTGGAAAAATGAGTCAGCAAGTCAAATTAAACAAGCTAATTTTAGCAAAAAAACATGTTCTGTACTAACATTTTCTGTGACAGGACCCAGAGTCAGCAAACGGACTGAGATGCGTCTGTCTATACCTTTTCCTTATAGACATCTTTCCAAGGAAGACAAAATGCTCTTGAACTAAAAAAGGACAGATTTAATTACTTCTAATTGGGAATTTATGACTGAGAACTGAGCAACTGGATCAGACACAATTGATATGAGCACCTCTCCCTTTGGCTGTCCTTCCTTTCAAGGTTACAAAATTGGATTCAACCAACTAAGTAGATTTCTGAGTTGAAGCAAACTGCCAACTACTCTTTGATCTCAAGAAGTTGTTTTCTATTACGACTGAGGCCTGGTTATTTCTTCCCCGTCCTTCTCTGCAACTTTTTACATTCTTTGTACACTACAGGTTCCCAGGTCCTTTTGTTATGACGCGCTCTCCACCATCCATACCAGTGGATGGACAGTTCTGTCCCCCAAATAATTTCCCAGGGAAAGTGTAATCTTGCTTCCATTTATTCTCTTCATAAAGAAACATAACTTTCAAATCAATAAAAAAAACAATGGAACAGTCAGAAAAACAAATAGGAACTATCACAGTTTCTGATTTTCAATGGGACTATTCACAGTAAAATACTTTGAGAAAATACCCTTAGAATGGAGAAGAACTAGAGATGAGCACCAGCCTGCTATGCCAGCCCAGTCAGATACAGTCATGAAACTGTTCTGAAATATAGAAGCTCTAATTTCTACCACTGAGAGTTCAAGTCCAGAGCTGTGTTAGTTATGTCAGTAATATATCATGTGCTGGCAATGGGTAGCTAACTCTCTGTATTTTTATCACTCTCAAACTAATCTTGGAGAGAAAACACTAAATCTTTTATTCTTTGTATTTTTCATTTACAGTATATAAGAGAGCAATATACTTATTAACAAACAAAACAAGTGTAGAATTAATGTAAGGACAGTCAGACAGTGAGTGGAACAGGCTGCCCAGAGAGGTTGTAAATCCTCCTCCTTTGAGGTTTTAAAGACCAGACTAGATAAAACCCTGAGCAACCTGACTTGATCTTGGACTCCTGACATTGGACAAGAGACATCCGGAGGTCCCTTGCAGATTGACTTATCCTAGGATCCTATGAAAGGCATCAAAGGAAAACAAACAAAAATGAAACTCTTAATCAGAGGAAGTAGTAGACAAAAAAGAAAGCTACCAAAAATAGAGGAAGTACTGTACTGAAGAAAATACAATTGCCTAATTATAAAATTAATTTGCTTTTAATTTTATATTTCTCTATAGCAGAAAAAGCTCATAAACCCCAAAGTGATTAGAAGGATTCTGATTGCTACAGATATTAGGGGACAATGGTACTCAAGAGAGTTGTGATGAATACAAATGAAGAGCTACTGATGAGAAGGTTGCTTTCCCTACAGATCTCAGTTGCTTTTTACCAATCTTATTTCTTCATTTTGTTATTGGAATAAAATAAAGATTAAATTAGGCTCTTCCTTTGGGTGTATCATGTTATGAGTATTACAGAAAATTAACAGTTTGAGTGAAGTTAATTCAAAGTGGTAACTAAGCACAAAATCACACTTACTGTTCAGACCACTGAATATATGTGTAGGCAATATATGTAGGTCTATGAGAGTTTGAGAAACTGCAACCAATCTGCGAACAATTCAGAGTGGATGACCATGCATATTTTTTGACAGATAAATTATTTGTCTTGAATTCTATGCTGCTTCAATGAGAGCTCTCAATAAACACTTATGTACATCTCTTCATTTCTCTGTTTTGGAGATTAACTAACCTGTGGAGATGTATATGTCTCTATTAGATATCAAAAGAGCTACACAATTAATTTACTCAACTACATTTAGGCAAGATGAATCCTATCATTCTATGTCTATCATGAAAAATAGCAAGAGTGCATCTTTCTCTATCACTAAACAAACTGAGTGAGTCAAAACCTGATCTCATCAAATCACGTAACAGTTTTCATGATGAAAGTATGATTTCAGAATATTTTAATCTGGCCTTTATAACTGCAGGCAAAGATTCAGATATTCTCTTTTACTATAGACCAAGAAAAGATGTGATAAAAAAGAATAAATAATTCAGTAATTCCAGAACGATCCAGGAAATTATTTTTCCCACTAATGTGTTTATAGATTATGACCAATTTGAACTGAGAACAGAAATCCAGAGGACAATCTGAAAACCTTATATACTAATTAGGAAACCATTTCGAATTATCCAATGGGAAACAGCAAATACAAAGTTTCACCTAAATTCTGGTCCATAACCTGTCATGCTAAACTGCTAGATTCAAGGCTTCCAAGGACACAGTTCTGAAACATTTGGGTTATATCTATAAAAGTAAAGCACCTCTTTTTTCTCCCTAGGAAGCGCAGGGAGAAGAGAAATAAAATTCTGTGTTTAACAGCAGGGCAAAGACTCCCAATGAGGTGCTAAAGGAAAGTTTTAGAATCCCTCAGACTATTGTTATGCAGTAAATAAAATAAGACAT